CCCAAAAATTCCCCCGATGGTCCCTGTTATCGACCCTCCATTTGTTCATCTGTAAACATCTATCGAGCACCTGCTATGTGCACTCTACTCAGCCCTGGGGACTCAGTGACAACTGAGGGACTGGTGTCCCTACCTTTGGGTAGCTGACACTCTAACAGGGGAGGCCCATAAAAGCAAGGTGAAGGCCGAGGGGCCGAGGCGGCTCACGCCTGTCATCCCAGCCATCTTGGATGGATAAGTGACAGCAGGCCGGGCGCAGTGGCGCACGCCTGTCATCCCAGCTACTTGGGAGGCTGAGGGGGGAGGATCGCTTGAGGCCAGGAGTTCAAGGCCGGCCTGAGCAACAAAGCGAGGGACCCCGTCTCCGCAAAATATTAAAACAATTAGCCGGGCGAGGTGGCTCATGCCTGCAGTCCCAGCTACTCGGGAGGCCCAGGTGGGAGGATCGCTTGAGGCCTGGAGTTTGAGGTCCATTATCATTTTATGTCATTATTGATATGGTTGAATTTAAGTTTACTGTTTGATTTCTTTCTGTTGTCTGTGACTTTTAGTTTTCTCTCCTCCTGCCTTTTTGTTTTTCCCTCTTGGGCTATATGAATTTTTTGTAGAATTCTGTTTTAAGTTAACTGTCACCTTTTAAACTGTATCTGTCTGTGTTCCTTCCCGGCAGTTGCTCTGGGAATGGATAACACGCCCCCTCCCGCCGGCCGCAGCTTGTATTATTCTACTTCCCCTACAGTGTCACCCTGTCAGCGCTGCGGGTCTCTTACCCCCATTTGAGTTCTTTATGCCACAGTTGTCATGTTAATCACACCTACAGATTACAGATGCGGCAAGACAGGTGCAGCTCTATGGGTGACAAATCCTAGTTTTGTTTTATTTATTTATTTATTATTTTGAGACAGAGTCTCGCTTTTGTTGCCCAGGCTACCAGGCTAGAGTGAGTGCCGTGGCGTCAGCCTGGGCTCACAGCAACCTCAAACTCCTGGGCTCGAGCGATCCTTCTGCCTCAGCCTCCCGAGTAGCTGGGACTACAGGCATGCGCACCATGCCCGGCTAATTTTTTTATATATATAATCAGTTGGCCAATTTATTTCTTTCTATTTGTAGTAGAGACGGGGTCTCGCTCTTGCTCAGGCTGGTTTTCGAACTCCTGACCTTGAGCAATCCCGCCCGCCTCGGCCTCCCAAGAGCTAGGATTACAGGCGTGAGCCACGCGCGCCGGCCCTAGTTTGTTTTAGAACAACAAACTCTCTTAGTTTTGTTTTATCTGAAAATGTCTTTATTTTGCCTTTTTTTTTCTCTTTTTTTTTCTGAGACGAGTCTCACTCTGTTGCCCAGGCTAGAGTGAGTGCCCTGCGTCAGCCTCGCTCACAGCAACCTCAGACTCCTGGGCTCAAGCCATCCTCCTGCCTCAGCCTCCGAGTAGCTGGGACTACAGGCATGCGCACCACGCCCGGCTAATTTTGTATATTATATATTTTTAGTTGGTCAATTATTTATTTCTTTTTTGGGTAGAGACGGGTCTCGCTCAGGGCTGGTTCGAACTGCTGACCTTGAGCAATCCACCGCCTCGGCCTCCCAGAGTGGAACTTTTTCAATCTGTAAAATTTTTCTTTGGAAAAATGTTGGCCGTGATTTCTTCAAATATTTTTTAGGCCCTTCCCTTTTTTGGGGAGGACTGTAGTGACATGTACCTATGTTAGGCCTTTCGATATTGTCCCACGGGTCCCTAAGTCTTGCTTTATGGCCCAATTTCTGTTGTTGTGTTCTTCAGATTAGATCATTCTTACCTCTGTTCAAGCGTTCTGACTCTCTGTCATCTGCACTTCCATTGTTTAGCCCATCGGGCACATTTTTAAATTTCAGATTGTTTTCAATTTCAGAATTTCCACCCAATTCTCTTCTAATATATCTCTTTTTTAAAAAAACTTCTCTGCTGGCCGGGGCGCGGTGGCTCAAGCTGTAATCCTAGCTCTTGGAGGCCGAGGCGGCGGATTGCTCGAGTCAGGAGTTCGAAAACCAGCCTGAGCAAGAGCAAGACCCCGGTCTTCTACTATAATAGAAAAAATTAATTGGCCAACAATATAATATATATATAATTAGCCGGGCATCGGTGGCGCATGCTGTAGTCCCAGCTACTCGGGAGGCTGAGCAGAAAGATTGCTTGAGCCAGGAGTTATGGTTGCTGTGAGCTAGGCTGACGCCACGGCACTCACTCTCGCCTGTGCAACAAGTGAGACTCTTGTCTCAAAAAAAAAAAAAAAAAAAAACTTCTCTGCTGAGCTCACGCCTATAATCCGAGCACTCTGGGAGGCCAAGGCGGGCGGATTGCTCGAGCTCAGGAGTTCAAAACCAGCCTGAGCAAGAGCGAGACCCGTCTCTACTATAAATAGAAAGAAATTAATTGCCCAATAATATATATATATTATATATTATATATAGTAAAGTTAGCGGGCATGGTGGCACATGCCTGCAGTCCCAGCTACTGGGAGGCTTGAGGCAGGAGGATCGCTTGAGCCCCGGAGATGGAGGTTGCTGTGAGCGAGGCTGACGCCACGGCACTCACTCTAGCCTGGGCAACAGAGTGAGACCCTGTCTCAAAAAAAAAATAAAGCTTCTTGGCTGAGGTGCTCTCTCTCTTCATTCGTTATGGGCATATTGTCCTAGTTAGCATAGTTGTGATTGCTGCTCTAAAGCCTTGGGAGCTAATTCCAACATTTGGGGCACCTTGGGGTCATACTCTGCTAATCACTTTTTCTCACTAGCGTGAGCTGCAGGTTCCTGTCTATCCACATGTTGGGTAATTTGGGATCGTATTGTTCACGTTGTGAGTGTTACGCTCCGGAGGTACTGGATTCTGTTATATTCTTCCAAATAGTATGCCTATTTTTGCCTTTGCAGACAGTTAACTCAATTGGACTCAAACTGCAACTGTCTGTTGAGGGGCACACAGTCTTTTCCTTTTTTTTTTTTTTTTTGAGACAGAGTCTTACTCTGTTGCCTGGGCTCAAGTGCTGTGGCGTCAGCCTCGCTCACAGCAACCTCAGACTCCTGGGCTCAAGCGATCCTCCTGCCTCAGCCTCCCGAGTAGCTGGGCAGCAGGCAGAAGCATGGCTTGAGCTCAGGAGTTCGAGACCAGCCTGAGCAAGAGTGAGACCCCGTCTCTACTATAAATAGAAAGAAATTAGCCAAACAACTAAAAATAGAAAAATCAGGCGGGCACGGTGGCACATGCCTTGTAGTCCCAGCTACCTGGGAGGCTGAGGCGGGAGGATTGCTTCAGCCCAGGAGTCAGAGGTTGTGTGAGCGAGGCTGACGGCACGGCACTCACTCTAGCCTGGGCAGCAGAGTGAGACTCTGTCTCAAAAAAAAAAAAAAAAACATAAAACATCTGGGTCTCTTTCAGCTTTTACTCTTCCAAACAGTATAGTGGTGGGGGCAGGGGAGGAAAAAAAAAGAAAAAAGAACCTACAGTGACAGAGACCCTCGAACTCACTTCTTGGTGCATCTGTAGCTGAACCCCTACTCATCACCGATTTGGTTATTTACATTTTTTATTTTATTATTATAAGACGGTCTCTCACTCTGTTGCCCGGGCTAGAGTGCCGTGGCGTCAGCCTCGCTCACAGCAACCTCAGACTCCTGGGTCAAGCGATCCTCCGGCCTCAGCCTCCCGAGTAGCTGGGACAGGCATGCGCCCACCATGCCCGGCTAATTTTTTTCTCTATATATATGGCCAATTAATTTCTTTCTTTTTATAGTAGAGACAGGTCTCGCTCTTGCTCAGACTGCTTTCGAACTCCCGCCTCGAGCAATCCTCCCACCTCGGCCCCCCGAGTGCTGGGATTACAGGCGTGAGCCACCGCGCCCGCCAGATTTGGGTATTTACAGTTGTTTTGTTTTGGTTTCTGACTATAAAATAACACCAGGCTGAACTTCCTTGTACTGGTTCAGTCTTTGTGGCCTTGAATTTTTTTTTTTTTCAGAATTTAGCTTTTTTTTGCTTCTAACATTTCTTCTCGTGTTGGTCTCGAGCACAGAGCTGGCCCAGGGCAGTGCATTGCATGTTGCATGGGATGAAATGTTGAAGGCTGCCTCCTCCTCTTGCAGGCTGGCTTCCGAGATTGCACCTTCTTCTCCTGCTCCTCCTCCAACTCTATGACCCTCCAAGGTAAGAAGATGGCGGGGCAAGGGTCCTGGCTGGCCTAGCCTGCAGAGGGGGCATTGCCACACCGGTGTGCTGTCCTCCCACCTCGACAGGACCCCAACTCTCCATGCACCCGAGTTACTTCTGAAAGCCACGGTCATTCCCTCTTTCTTCCTTGCCTCCACCCTTCCATCCGCCAGTGATCTATGCACCATGGCCGGCCATGCACGCCCATTCCCTGACCCACTTCCCCATCCAGCCACCACCCGTCCATCAGCTCACCTGTGCTCACCTCTTCACCCATCCCTTCAGCTCACTTCATTTACACATCCATTTATCTGTTCAACTTTCATCTATCCATCCATCCCCATCTATCTATTCATCCATCCACCTGCTCCTTCCTCCCTCTATCCATTTATCAATCCACCCATCCATCCATCCATCCATCTGTGCATCTATCCATCTATGTATCCATCCATTCTTTCATCCATCCATCCATCGATCCATGTATCTATCCATCCTTCCTCCCTCTATCCATTTATCAATCCGCCCATCCATCCATCCATCCATCTGTGCATCTATCCATCTATGTATCCATCTATCCTTCCATCCATCCATCCATCCATCCACCCATTCATTCCCCCATCTATCTATTCATCCATCCACCTGCTCCTTCCTCCCTCTATCCATTTATCAATCTGTCTATCCATCCATCCATCTGTGCATCTATCCATCTATGTATCATCTATCCTTTCATCCATCCATCCATTGATCCATGTATCTATCCATCCTTCCTCCCTCTATCCATTTATCAATCCGTCCATCCATCCATCCATCTGTGCATCTATCC